ACCGAAGGAAACTTGACGAATCTGGCCACCATCGAGAGGTACCACAACGCCACTCTTTCTTATGATAGCGACAACGACACTCTGGCGCTGGAATTCATCCTGCGATGGGAGGATATCGAGGTAGAGTGGCTGTGGCTTCTGTTCTATGCTGTAGATTAACGTAGACGATTTGCAGCTGAGCTACAAGTTCCACAGCCAAGTGGAGCTGATCAGCTCAACCGGGCATGTAGTCGCTAAAGTCGAGCATTTGAAGATCCATCTGAAACTGGTAGCGGATCTGGAGTTGGTCCATCTTGAAGAAGACAGCATGGACTTCAACCAGACCGGGTAATTTTGTCTTCCATCCCAGAGCTCTAGAATTCCAGAACTAATGGGGAATTTTCCAGAGCCATCACTTTGACCTACACAGGCGTCGGTCTTCTGGATTACATCCTGGATGCCATGAGCGACACGTTGACGGCGGTTCTTCACAACTACGTCCTGGAAAAGGTTAGAGAGATTGTGATGGATCCAGTGGACGATGTTATTGACGCAGTTAACGACTTTCTGGACGACATTTTACGTCCCACTACCACAGGATGATCAGCCAATAAAACCTGCACGTGCATCCATTGAAAGTGTTTTCATATATTCCCCAGGCGCTCTCGAGCGAAAGAGCCAGATTTCATCTAATCTTGGAGAGGACTTGAACCAAATAAACCGCGTAGTTTGTCGATAATACAACATTTCCAATTAAGGAAATTTGCCAAGTAAAYACGCACTGATCCATTAATAGATCAACAGCAATCGACCCGAATTTTCAATCGCTGGAKAGTTCGTTTTCAGTCCAATCACAACGAGATCGTTTGCATTTGGCATTTTGGCTYCAAACTTTTTTCAGGTTAGGAATATTTGAAAATCTTTCRAAGCAGTYGGCTCTGCGCAAGRCACTCYATCGAAAAGCTCCTTACGACTAGTGACGTATCTTCAATCGYTAGCGAGTTATGAGCGGAAATSTTTAAGGATGCGCCCTTACCATTTYGAGATTSTTTACAATTGACATTTTGACTTCTATTTTTTTAAGGTTAKGAATTKYGGATAAATKTTYAACAGCAGTCGGGTCTACGTTAAATATAGCGTTCATTTTAGCGCMCAACGATAGAGCTTTTTTGTTACCGACAAGATTTTGAATTAATATCRATWGTTTCAATTTTTTAAATCAAAAACTGTGCTTTTAGGGACACATTCAAAAGAGCTTTTTTATTTCCRACTAAATCTACAATGAGAAAATAATTTTTGTTTGMAGRTTATACATTCAAGTGSACTATTTTACGTACTGGAAAGTATCAAACGTTAAATATTGCGTYAATTTYAGCGTAAAACGTYKGAAACTTTTTGAATTCWAAAACTGTAARACACCCTATAGAAAAGSTAGTTACGACTAGTTGCAAATGTTCAATAGTTRSCGAGTTATGAGTGGAAATGTTCAATWTTTTTCCACAAACAAGTTTTTTCTTTGACAATTAACGGTTTTTATTTTTTCCATCAAAAAYTGTGATTTTAGCAAGAAAACGCAAAAGGACTATTTTTCTCTCAGCTGCATATCGAATTCGATAATACTTTTTTTTGCAGGAAAACCATTGGCGTGCACTCTTTTCCTCTCTGGAAAGTATCAAACGTTAAATATAGCGTTAATTTTTTCGCACAATTCAATTTTTACAAAAAAAACTGAGCTTTTAGCAAAAAAATCCAAAAGAGCTTTTTATTCCCAACTGAATCCAGAATGATAAAATAATTTTTATTTGCAGAATATCCATTCGAGTGCACTATTTTGCTTATTAGAAAGAATCGAACATTAAATATAGCGTTAATTTTAGCGCACGTTTTAAAATTTTTGAAATAAAAAACTGTGAATTTAAGCAAAAAAATCCAATAGAGCTTGTTTGTTACCAACAAAATTCGAAATTACCAAATATTTATTTTCAAAAAAAACTATTGGCGTTCACCTCGTCAGACAATTCAAGGATTTTAATTTTATTTACCATAAACTGTCGATGTTAACGGCATGCAGAATTAGAAACTAATTTTTCTTGGCCGAAAAACCATTGGCATGCACCGTTTTTCGGTCTGAAAAGTACCAAACGATTAAATATTACGCTGATTTTTTGGCACAATTCAATAGTTTTATTTTTTTTAAATCAAAAACTGCGTTTTAGAAAAAAGCTTTTTAATTTTCAACTGAATCTAGAATAATAAAATAATTTTTGTTTGCAGAATATCCATTCGAGCGCATTATTTTTCTTACTGGAAAGAACCACACGTTAAATATAGCTTTAATTTTAGCGCCCAACGATAGAGCCTTTTTGTTACCAACAAAATTTTGAATAAGCAAATATTTTTTTCTAAAAAACTTTTTGTTCCCAACGGCATGCAGAATTAGAAACTAATTTTTCTTGGCCGAAAAACTATTGGCGTGCACCGTCTTTCAGTCTGGACTGTATCAAACGTTAAATATTGCGTTGAATTTTTCGCACAATTAAATAGCTTTTTTTTATCAAAAACTGTGCTTTTAGGGACACATTCAAAAGAGCTTTTTTATTCCCAACTAAATCTACAATGAGAAAATAATTTTTGTTTGCAGAATATACATTCAAGTGCACTATTTTGCTTACTGGAAAGTATCAAACGTTAAATATTGCGTTAATTTTAGCGTAAAACGTTGGAAACTTTTTGAAATCAAAAACTGTGCATTTAAGCAAAAAAATCCGATAGATCTTTTCTGTTACCAACAAAATTCGGAATTAGCAAATATATTTTTGTAAAAAAACCATTGGCGTTCACCACCTCGGACAATTCAAGAATTTTAATTTTATTTACCATAAACTGTCGATGCTAGCAAAAAATCCTAAAATAACTTTTTGTTACCAACGGCATGCAGAATTAAAAACTAATTTTTCTTGGCAGCAAAACCATTGGCGTGCACCGTTTTTCTGCAAGAAAGTAAAAAACGTTAAATATTGCGCTGATTTTTTCGCACAATTCAATAGTTTTATTTTTTTTTTTTGATCAAAAACTGTGCGTTTTGGGAAAACAGTCAAAAGAGCTTTTTTATTCCCAACTGAATCTACAATGAGAAAAAAAATTTTGTTTGCTGAATATCCATTCAAGTGCACTATTTTTCCTACTGGAAAGTATCAAACGTTAAATATAGCGTTAATTTTAGCGCACAACGATAGAGCCTTTTTGTTACCAACCAAATTGTTACCAACCAGAAAAAATATTTTTTTCTAAAAAAACTTTTTGTTCCCAACGGCATGCAGAATTAGAAACTAATTTTTCTTGGCCGAAAAACTATTGGCGTGCACCGTTTTTCGGTCTGGACAATATCAAACGTTAAAAATAGCGTTAATTTTCGCGCACACGTTCTTTAGCCGAAAACTGTGCATTTCAGCAAATAAATCGACTCGACGCAATTCACTTTATGCGAAAAGCTCAGAAATCGTTAAACATTAGCAAGCTTTAAGTCACAATTGCTCATCTTTACCTTCCACTGCTTAGAGGATAGAAAATTCGTTGGCCAGAAACTCTAGGCTCTGGATAAATCGGCTCAAAGATTTAGATGGAATGCAATCGATAGACCATCCATACTGGTTTTGAACAATTCCACTCGCCTGGTACTCAAACAGCATCTAATCGGCCCAGACCTTGACAAAGCACTTCAACAGCTCGTAGATAAACTGCGCAAATTCCGCTCAAACATCAAACCTGCCTGGAACTTCTTCAGATAAATCTGCAATGAAGTGCTTGCTTGTTGCTCCGCTGCTGCTCGCGACGGCTCTGGCCGCCGGATTAGCCGGATTTGAGCCCGAGGGAGTTGCGAAGTTGAAGCAAGAGCTTATTGAGCAGTTCAGCGCAGTTGCCCAGGGACTTCCTACTTTGGCGAGTCACAATAGGTGAGCTTCATTAATATTAATGTCTTAAGCTTGATAAGAGCCACTCGACTGCGCCCAAAACTATAAGTTTGTCTGATGCTGCAGCCTGGGAAGCTCCGAAGCTCTGTTGAACGACTATCTGGATCTGGTTCTTCCAGACATCAATTCCGCAATTTCATCGGCAGGCTTTGATCCCACGTCGCTGCCAGACGAAAAAATCAATGTACGTATCGGAGTGAAGCGTCCAGAGGTTTGTCCAGTATTTGAACTTGCAGATTGGTATTGGGCATGTGAACCTGTCGCAAGGCAACTTGACCAAGCTGGCCACCATCGAAAGATATCACAATGTGACTGTTTCTTATGACAGCGATTCGAAGAAAGTGGCGCTGGAGTTTATATTGAGATGGCAGGACTTGGAGGTGGCGAAACGTTCTGATATTTTGAGCTTGGTTTAGTTGACTCAGCGTGGTTTGCAGCTGATCTACAAGTTCAAGAGCAAAGTAGTTCTGATCAGCTCAACCGGGCATGTTGTGGCCAATGTGGAGCACTTGAAAATCCATCTGAAGCTGGCCTTCGACCTGAACCTGGCGCAAGTTGAGGTGCAGAGCCTGGACTTCAAGCACACTGGGTAAACGTGTTTAACTCCGCCCCTAAAATGGCTCATCCAGATTTTCCAGGGACATTGCCCTGACGTTCACTGGAGTGGGGGTGCTGGACTACATCATCGACGCCATGAGCAACAGTTTCACCGGGATTTTCCACAACCTGATTCTGGATATGGTGAAGAAAGTGGCCATGGACCCTGTGGAGGAGATTGTGGAAGCCATCAACCAGATTCTGGATAATGCCTTGCGCCCCACTACCACACATAACAGATAAGTTCTATATTGTTGAGGCGGATTCATTTTTTTACAAACTTCTTGTTGGGTATTTTGCCTCAAAAATGTTTGTAATTAAAAAAGACAGAATTTCCTCATGTCTTTTATTACAGATTGTTAAATAGTGCTCCTATTTCGCAATAAGAACGAATTATTTATCAAAAAGTAATCAAGAACTATCACCTAGAGAGTATCCTGCGACACACTTAGGCTCGTAAGAGAAAATTCCAATTAGAAAAGAAATTAATTTGAAAAATTACCTTGATGTTTCGATAGCTATTTTCTGCTATCGTTATCAAAAGAACCTAAATGAACCTAAAAAAGAGTATGTTAATAAATTGTGTAACAATAGTAGGATAATACAGTATATGAAAATTCGCTCTGATAATTCGTCTGTGCAAATTGTCAGCTATGTGACTTTGACTCAATCTCATTGTTTAAATTAATAAAATAATGTTAATTAATAATTTTGGTGTAAATTCAATTTGGGTGTATGTTTCTCTGGTTTACTTCAGATTTTAGCATAGGTAACCATGTATGACTTAAATTAAATGAACATGAAGCAACCCAATTGTTTTGATTTAGTAAAGTTAGTGCGCTTTCTTTAATTATACGTTTTTTTGTGGATTGTTCTTTTGTTAAAATTGTGGAATTATTCCACTGAATTTTATGGCAATTATCAAATGCATGTTGACAAATGTGTGATTTA